CTTGGGAGTGTTCCTTCCTCTGGAATTTTTTGGAAGAGTTTCAGAAGGATAGGTGTTAACTTTTCTAAATGTTTGATAGAATTTGCCTAAAGATAGTGGAAGTCATCTGCTCCTGGACTTTTGTTTATTGGAAGTTTTTTAATCGCTATTTCAATTTCAGTACTTGCTATTGGTCTATTTATAGTTTCTGTTTCTTCCCAGTTCAGTCTTGGAAGATTGTACCTTTCTAAGAATTTTGTCACTTTCTTCTAGGTTGTCTATTGTATTGGCATATAGTTGTTTGTAGTAGTCTCTTATGTACCTTTGTATTTCTGTAGTGTCTGTTGTAACATCTCCTTTTTCATTTCTAATTTTATTGATTTGAGCCCTCCTTTTTTTATTGATTAGTCTGGCTAAAGATTTATCAATTTTGTTTATCTTTTCAAAGATCTAGCTTTTAGTTTCGTTGACCTTTTCTGTTGTTTTCTGTGTCTCTGATCCATTTATTTCTGCTCTGATCTTTATGATTTCTTCTACTAACATTGGGTTTTGTTTGTTCTTGTTTCTCTAGTTGCTTTAGGTGTAAGGTTAGGTTCTTTGAGATTTTTATTGTTTTCTGAAGTAAGACTGTATTGCTGTAAACTTCCCTCTTAGAACAGCTTTTGCTGCATCCCATAGGTTTTGGAATGTCATGTTAAGCTGATAGTCATACAAGTTTAAAGAAAGAAAGAAGAAAGCAAGTTGCTTCAGTCATGTCCGACTCTGCAATCCTATGGACTATAGCCCGCCAGGCTCCTCCGTTCATGGGATTTTCCAGGCAGGTTGTCATTTACTTCTCCAGGGGATCTTCCTGACCCAGGGATCGAACTCAAGTCTCCCATATTGTAGGCAGACTCTACCATCTGAGCCACCAGGGAATCCCCATACAAGTTTAAACACAGTCTAAAGGAGCTAAATTTTTATACTCTCCTGCCAGCATTTTATGATTTTGATGTTATATTTTATATCTTCATGCTTATCCTTTTAGCATTAATTATAATTATAATAGGTTTTACAGGATTTTTTGGATTGTTTTTAGTTTATGTACTGGCTTATTTTAGTGATCTTCAGTCCTTTTGTATATTTGCCTTTCCTGTTGTGATTTTCCCTGTCCTATAGACACTTGCTTTTTTTCTATCAGAGAAGGCCTTTCAGTATTCCTTTTAGTTTAGACTTAGTGTTGCTGTACTCTTAGTTTTTGCTTGTCTGAGAAATTCTCTCCCTCTCCATCTATTCTAAATGATAATCTTGCGGGGTGGAGTATCCCAGGTTACGGGATTTTCTCTTTCAGGACTTTGGCTGTATCATGCCACTCCCTTCTGACCTGCACAGTTTCTGCAGAGAAATTAAGCTTATGGAGGTTCCCTTGTAACTGACTGGTTTTCCCTTCCTGCCTGTAGAATCGTCTGTCTTTAACTTTTGCTGCTTTAATTATCATGTCTCGATATGGATCTGTTTGTGTTCATCTTGTTTGGGACCCTTGGTGCTTCCTGTACTTGAATATCTGTTTCCTCCTTTAGATTTCAGGAAGTCTCAGCCATAATTTCTTCAAATACATTTTTGATCCCCTCTCTTCTCTCTTCTCTTTCTGGAGCCCCTTTTATGCATAGGTTGGCACTGTTTATATTATCCCATTAAGTCTCGTATGTTGCTTTTTTTTTTTTTATTACCCTTGAGTGTATGCCCCTTCCCAGAAGAGGTGATTGCTGAAGCAAGTGTGCTCTTGTGGTTACAGTGCACCTGTGCCTCGCTTGTGTAGGCATCCGCAGTTCCTCTCAGAAGCAGCTCAAGGTCACATCCCTTTGTCCATTGTGTTTCACCCAGATCTAGTACAGGGCTGTGGTGTGGAGTAGACTGGGGCTGAGGACGTGGACATTGTGGCTGCAGGAATTGAGGTGGCTGTGCGGCTACCTTGTGACCTGGGCTGCCTCTCTGGCACACTTCTCCCTGGACCTGTCTGCCCCTCATCTGGTGCTGAGCTGCAGTGTGGGGTGGACGGAGCCCGAGCGCAGTCACTGGGAAACAGATTGTGGCATATTCTTGACCACGGCCTGCGTACCCAGGGTTTAGCACTTAGCTGCTTCACACATTGTTGTGGCACTGCCTGGTGTGAACACACTAACAGTGGTCTTCACAGCTCTGCCTGCATCACACCCAGGTACCCTGGTCTGATTCTGTGTAGTTAGATGAAATCTTTGCCCTTATCTGATGCCAGAATGTAGTATGGAGTGAGTGGGGACAGGGTGCTCACCCCTTCGGTTTGGGAAGTGCAGCAAGGCAGCAGCTGCCAGTGCAAGGGTCTCTCCACCCTGTCAGCCAACTCATGTGCACCCCTCACAGGTAGAGTCTAGGTTCCTCCAGCCCTTTTCTCTGTCTCAGTGGATTTCCCAGCAGGCAAGGGGGTTTGTCTCCTTGTGCAGGACCCAGGACTGGGATGCCCTGATTGTCTGTCTGCTCCCTCCCCAGGGTAAGGTTCTGCCCATGCAACCTTCTCTTCCTTACAGATCCCTCTCAGAGGCACAAGTCCTACCTGACTTGGTGCCCTTTTTATCTGTCTTACCAGGTTACATGAAGGTCTTTCTTGCTGCTTTAGTTGTACAGGAGACCTTCTGCCAGTTTGCAGTTAGTTTTCTCTGAGAATTGTGCCACGTGGAGGTTTTTTTAAATGTATTTGTTGGGAGGGGTGAGTACCTCATGGTACTAGTTTGTCATCTTGATCTTCCCCTGAAGTTCAAACTTTTAAGGTTTGCTTGATTTTTATATAAATTAAATGAAAGTGGTCATTATAGAGGACTTCACTTAACATAATAATTTACCTTGACATTGCTTTTTTTTTTGCCCATGCTGTGTGGTGGCATACAGGATCTTAGTTCCCTGACCAGGGATCCAAACCATGCCCCCTGCATTAGGAGCATAGTCTTAACCGCTGGAATGCCAGGAAAGTCCACCTTGACATTTCTTTAAATAATTAGTTCTTTAAATGCAACTACAGCATGATCAAATTTTAATTTTCCTAAACATTATGTTTTGGAAATACATCCTTTTGTAAAATGAAATATGCCTGTGTGAAGAGTTTCTATAATAAAGTCATTCATTTGCAAATGTACATGTATATGACTATCTTGATATATACTTGATTTTTAAAATTTTTACACTGTTTTAGAGTACTTTCAAATATACATTAAAATATTTCTTCTAAATATTCACATATCAGAGATATTCTGAAATTGAAGATAAGGTTTTTATTTTTTTATTTATTTTTTTTTTTTATCATTTTCACCACCTTCCTGAAACAGATCTTCCTTTTTGAGATAACCATTGTTCTCAATTTGGTATGTACCCTTCTAGACTTTTTTCTTTTCATTTGTATACATACCTATACCCATACTCATAGAAAATTTATAGTACTATTTTGCAGACTTCTTCCCCCACAGTTTCCTCTTTAAAATTTTGCCTGTCTGTTGGAAGAAAGATGGTAACTCACTATTTTAGCTAAGATTTTCTTGATTGCTACAGAAATTGAGAATTGTTTCCTATGCTTGACTATTTATATTCTACCTTATTATGAATTACCCATTTATAATGATGCTTTGTTAACTTTGTTTATGTTGTTTCTGTTACTTAGAATTATTATGATGTTAAGTTTATTGTTACTTATTTATGGCTCTTTACTTTTATATCTGTTTAAGCTACAAAGACCTTCTCTACACCAAGATCATGAATATAATCTAAATTTCCTCTAAGTCCTTTTACCTACTTGTTTGGATTTTTGTATTTAATTTCTATATGAATTTACAAAATAGTAAGAGGTACAAATCTAATTTTATTTTCTAACTCATAAATAGCTACCTTGTCATTTTTGAGTCATACTGTAAATTAGACAAAAATGTTGTCTATTCACATAATGGAATGCTAGATGATTAATAGCTGTTGGATAAATGGATCCAAGTAAAAGTCCTGAGAAATAGCAAGGGAAGGTAATATTATCCCTTATTTGCATATAGTAAGATTTATGTTCAAAGAGGCTGCATTGGCCAACCAAAATCATATAAAAACAGAGTGATAGAATAGAACTCAGTTTGTCTGACTCCTAGTCCAGTTGTTAAATCTGCTGCTGCTGCTGCTAAGTCGCTTCAGTCGTGTCCGACTCTGTGCAACCCCATAGACGGCAGCCCACCAGGCTCCTCTGTCCCTGGGATTCTCCAGGCAAGAATACTGGAGTGGGTTGCCATTGGTATATCTACTACCGTACAAAAAATAGCCAAGAATTAAATCTAAAAACCCACATTTCAGAGGTGAAAGAGCAAAGGAGTCAGTGAGATAAAATGGAGAACCAAGTATGTGGAAAAAGAAAACTAGGAAGTATAACATCATAAAAAAAAAAGGGAACAGAGCTTAAAGAGGGATGGCTATCAACATCAAATTGATGGTCCATGATTATCCCATAAAAAGATGGCCACTGCATTACCTACTTGGAACAACAAAATTGTACTTTATGCAAATATGTTCCTGGGGTTATATCACATAGTGACCCTGGAATGAGAATTGAGAAGTTGTATCTCAGAGTTCACTAGTAAGCTCTGAGAATATAGTTCCAGTAGGTGGTCAGGAGTTAAGGTCAGTGTGTGTCTTTTAATGCATTAGACAAATGTTGCAGCCTCAGTTTGATTAAGTTTAAGAAGGCTTAGCCATAGTTTGCTAAAAAAATCATAAGAAACAAGTATCTTTAGAGTAGCAGTGAGAATTTAGCATAAATTAATAGTATATAAGGTCAACAGCTATTTTCTAGCTATTCTGAAAATTATTTTAAAATTTCATTAATCTTTTATTTTTTTAAATGCCATGAAATACAACATTTTATAACAATATCCACAAGTATTCTTAAATTAATGTTATTAGAAAAAAATAGACTATGCAAAATAATTATAGGAATTGGGGTTTTTCTTCTTATCACTCATGATTGTATTTGAATCCTTTTTCAGCTGACTCTATTAGTGACCCATTTTTCCCCGGGACTACACAGATACTATTGGAATATCAGCTAGGGAGATGGGTGCCACGTCTTCGTGAACCACGAGATTTATATGGTGTCTCTTCTTCTGGTCCGCTGAGCCCAACACGGTGGCCATACCACTGTGAGGTCATTGATGAAAAAATCGAACATATTGGTATGTTCTTAGCAAGTTTTGGGGATTCAAACATTGGCAGACTTACTGTGTTAAACTTGACTTCAGTAAAAACACTCTTGGTATTAAATAGTATGTTCCAGCAGAAATATAACACAAACCATGTATATAATTTTTAATTTTTCAGTAGTTACATTTAAAAAGATAAAGTGAAATCAACTTCAAAATATATTTTATTTATTCAAAATATATTTAAAATATTTTACATTTTTTAATGTGAAATCTTTGAAATCTAGTCTATATTTATACTTACTTTTCAATTCAATTCCATTTTTTCTACATCCTTGTCAACACTATCTTTTGGCTTTTGGATAATAGCCATTGTCAACTTTAAAAAGTAGTCACAACCTAGAAGGTGAGAGTTATGTTTTATTTGGTGGGAATTTTTTAGGACTTCAAGCTCGGGAGACAGCATCTCTAGTAACCTTGAGACAGCTGTTCCAGGGAGGCAGGGGGAGGAGTCTGGTTATATAGAAGTTTGCAGCAAGGGGCAGGTAGTCTGAACGTCAAAAGATTATTGTTAATTAAGGAAAACTAGATTATCTCAAGAAATTTAGCGCTTTTCTATGTATGGGCTTAATGAAATAATTTTCTTATTGAAATTCTATGTGTGGGCTTATTAAAATCATTTTCATATTGAAATCATTTTCTAACTCTGGGCTTATTGAAATCATTCCTTTCATATGCATCTCAGCTATTTAGGGCCAGCATCCTACAATTTGATTACTCACATCCTTAGTTCCTCGCTGTGACATCCTTGTGTATTGATATGGCAGAAAATACTTCATTTCTACATACACATATAAGATGATGTCTCACTGTGGCTTTGATTTACAATTCTCTAAAGATTTTTGATGTTGACAATGCAATCTTTATCAAAATTTTACAATGGTATTTTTTTAATAGAAATAATAAACAACTCTAAATTCAGATGGAACCACAAAAGGCCACAAATTGTCATATCAGTATTGAGAAAGAACAAAGCTGGAGACATCACACATTCTGATTTCAAAATATATTACCAAAAAACTACAGTAACCAAAACAGTATGTCACTGGCATAAGGACACAAACATAGGCCTATGGAACAGAATTGTTGTTTAGTCACTAGGTCATGTTCAACTCTGTGACCCCATGGACTGTAGCCTGTCAGGCTCATCTGTCCATTGGATTTCCCAGGCAGGAATACTGGAGTGGATTGCCATTTCCTTCCTCCAGGGGACTTTCCCCACCTAGGGATCAAACTCGCGTCTCCTGCATTGGCAGGCGGATTTAGACTTCAGAAATAAATCCATGCATATGTGCCAACTGATATTTGACAAAAGTGCCAAGAATCCACAATGAGGGAGAGATAGTCTGTTTAAAAATGTTGAGAAAATTGGATGTCAACATGCAAAGGAATGAAATTGGGACTTTATCTTATAAAAAATCAACTTAAAACAGACTAAAGACAAACTTAAGGTCTGAAACTATAAAACAGCTAGAAAAAAACAAGGGGGAAGCTTCATGACATTGTTCTTGGCAGTGATATCATGGGTATGACAGGAAAAACACAGGCAACAAAAGTAAAAAAAGACAAATGGAAATATACATCAAACCAAAAAGCTTATGCACACAAAGGAAATAATCAAAATAGTGAAAATGCAGCTTGTGGAATAAGGAAAAACATTTGCAAAACATATTTGATAAGGGTTAATCCCTTGTGGCTCAACTGGTAAAGAATCTGCCTGCAATGCGGGAGACCTGGGTTCGATCCCTGGGTTGAGAAGGAGGCTACCCACTCCAGTATTCTGGCCTGGAGAATTCCATGCAAAGATTCGGACACAACTGAGTGACTTTCACATCACAAAATCTCTAAAATATAAAAGAATTTCTGTAGCTCACTAAGAGAAAAACTAATAACCAGAATAAAGGATGGGCTAAGAATTTAAATAGACAAACAAATGAACAATAAGTATATTTACTGACTTTTTATGTGAACTGTTTGATAAAAATACTTTGCCCATTTTGTTATTGGTTGTACTTTTCCTTTTCTTCTTGGTCTGTAAATGCTGCCTACATATTCAGGAGGTTGGCTTGCTCCTGCTTATGCTAAGTCATTTCAGTCATGTCCGACTGACTCTGTGCGACCCCATAGACGGCAGCCCGCCAGGCTCCTACGTCCAGGCAAGAATACTGGAGTGGGTTGGCTTACTATGTCATAGACCTGGCATTCTTTTCTTCTTAGTTTGTCACTTTATCATTCAGAAATTTTTAATTTTTATATAATCAATATGTCTACTGTTTTTTCTATGACTTCTGGGTTTTGAAATTCTCGTGTTTCTCTTAACACTTTTTTTGGTTGTTTTTTCACAGAGTGCCAGGCTAGGCTCCCTGTGTTATACAGCAACTTCTTACCAACTATCTGGGAAAGATTGAAGGCAGGAGGAGAAGGGGATGACAGAGGATGAGATGGTTGGATGGCATCACTGACTTAGTGCACATGAGTTTGAATAAGGTCCAGGAGTTGGTGATGGACAGGGAAGCCTGACTTGCTGCAATCCATGGGGTCACAAAGAGTCAGACACGACTGAGCAACTGAATGGCTAGTATATTTGAAAAGCAATTCAGATTAATAGTCCATAGGATCTGATTGTTATGGTTCCTGAGGTAATGGTTTTAAGATGATGATAATGTGATGGGATTTATTAGTACAGGAAGGGTATAAACCAACATTTTAGGGGTGGGCTTAATGGCTCATTTAGCTGACTTTCCTATAGAATATGGTATTATATGGTAGCAGAAAGAATTTTGAATTCTTAAGGGTAGGTTCAATTCCTATGATTCTAAAAGTAAGAGAATTTAAACCTCTGTTTACTCTTATCAAAGTGACTTTTATCGGACATATTTCTTATGTTTATGGAGGGATGCTTGGTACTGTAGAAGCCTGATATTATAATGGGTAATGAGACGTGTCATATGCTTTGGACTAGCGTTAGATGACATCACGAACTCAATGGACATGAGTTAAGAGCAAATTCTGGGAGATATTGAAGGACAAGGAAGCCTGTTGTGCTGCAGTTCACGGGTTTGCAAAGAATTGGACACAACTTAGCAACTGAACAACAGCAGCAAGTATTAGTAGTATGAATTTTTTCTTCCAAATTCATAGGAAAAGATTGTTAGTGATAGTTTTGATTGTTTTGATAATGAAGTTGGTTGTGTGTAGATCTGGTATATAGGGCTATGGAGTGCTCCTAGCAACAGGATTATTGTGAAAATGTTTATTCTGATAATGTCTGCTTAAGAAAAATACAACAAATGGACCTGCTGCATATTCTACATTGAAACCTGATACAAGTTCAGAGTTTTCTATTAAGTCAAGAAAGGCTCAGTTAGTTTCTGCTAGAGTGGAAATAAAATCATATAGCTAGGGTTCATGATGGGAAGATTATTTGTAAATGTTCTTGTGATGAGGGTTTTAAGGATGAAAGATCTATTTATTAAGAGAACCTATAAAAGAATAATTACTAGTGTTACTTCATATGAAATTGTGCTGCTGCTCACCAGGCTCCAATTAGTAAGTATTTTGAGTTGGAATCCCATCCAGCTCATAAGGTGGAATTTACAGCTAGACTTGATATAACTATAAATAATACTCCTAGACTTATATTAATGAGGGGGTAGGGTATAGCTAGGAGGATTCACATGATTAGGGTTAGAGTTAGGGCTAGGATTGGTACAGATGATGAATATGGAAATGGAGGGTGCAGCTGGTCATAGTGGTTCCTTAATGAATAAAATGACTGTTCAGCAGTGGGTTGTAATAGACCATATGGTCCTGTGATATTTGACCCTTTTCAGTTGCATATAACCTAAAATTTTTCATTCAATTAATGTTAGGAATGCTATGACTGAAAGAAGAGGATAATAACAAGTGTTAAGATATTAATTATAAACATTTTGTTAGGGAGAAGATTTGAATCTCTGGCTATAAAGGTTTAAGTTTTATGCAATTTCTGGGTTTTGCCATCTTAACAAACCCTGGTCTTGGGTAGATGTTTTCTATCTGTTAAGTTGAGACTGTATCATTAACCAGTTTTAGCATAGTTTTTAAAGTGGAGCTTATTTCTCTTGTTCTTTCATACTGGAAGAAGTATATAATAGATAGAAACCAACCTGGATTACTTCAGTCTGAACTCAGAGATGACAGAGGATGAGATGGTTGGATGGCATCACTGACTCAGTGGACATGAGTTTGAGCAAGCTCTGGGAGTTGGTGATGGACAGGGAAGCCTGGCGTGCTGCACTCCATGGGGTTGCAGAGTCGGACACGACTGAACGACTGAACTAAACTCAGATCATGTAGGATTTTAGTTGTTGAACAAATGAACCTTTAATGATGGTTACACCATTGGGGTGTCCTGATCCAACATCAAGGTTGTGAACCCTAGTATTGTTTATACTAGTTATATCAGTCCTGGCTGTAAACATCAAGGTCGATATGAACTCTGGAATAGGATTATGCTGTTATCCCTATGCTGACTTGTTCTGATGGTCAGTTTTTTGCATCAGTAAGTGATAATGTGTTTTGACTGGTAAGTCTAGACTTTAAACCCTCAGAGGCTATTTTGTTCTCCAGGGTCACCCCAACCAAAATTGTTCACTCATATAAATTTTTGTTATCTCTTGGTGGTTTAGTTATTTAGACTATTTAGTTATTTAGACCAAGTTGTAGTTGATAAAGCTCCATAAGACCTTCTCATCTTGTTTTGTTATTCCTGTTTCTTCACAGTAAGGTCAGTTTCACTGATTGAAACTAAGAGACAGTAAAACCCTCCTGTGGCCATTCAAACAAGTCCTTATTTAGAGAACAAATGATTATGCTACTTTGGCTTGGTCAGGATGTTAATGGTTGTCACTGGGCAGGCAGTGCCTCTAATACTGGTTATGCTAGAGGTGATGTTTAGTCAACAGGCAGGGTTTGTGTTTGCCAAGTTCCTT